TGGAACAAAGAACAACTGTAGTTAAGAAATGGTTCCATGCTCCTCAAAATCTCAAATCTTCTGATCTGTCTTGCTGCTGGATGTAGTTTATCGTCATACCCAGGACTAACAAAAGCTATAATAATATAATAGGTACAAAATAAATATAATCCATTGATACATAACGTCATATTAGCTCATTGCTTAAGTCATATTAATGTCATATTAAACATATTAAAACATATTAAAGCCATAATAGGTCATTGTTTTAGATACGAAATAAATATAATCAATACATACATAAAGTCATATTAGGTCTCTGCTTAAGTCATATTAATGTCATATTAAAGACATATTTAAATCATATTAGGTCATTGTTTAAGGTATGAAATGTATATAATACATAGATACATAAAGTCATATTAGGTAATTGTTTAAGATACCAAATAAATATAATCCATAGATACATAAAGTAATAAGTATCGACAATTCATAGTCAATTATAAACAATTTAAAACAGACTATATAGCGAAGCGATCTTTAGAGAGGCAGCGGTTCGACAAAAGATTTATTATTGTCGAGTACAATCCTAATAACGTAATATATTTTTTTTAAATCGAGTTCACTACAAGGTAGCTATTAAAGTCACTGAGATCTATAATATTAACTCTTTTTTATATCGAAAACTTTTCATTATTAACTCCTGCCTTCATAGCTAAAAAACTGCATTTTCTAACTGATATAATATAGACGTTATAAAAATAATACTCTTCTTATTCTTCTCTGTGTCGCGTCCATTCAGGACATTGGCGATCATAGACCTTCACAAATTTATCCTGTCCTTTGTAGCTCTTTTTGTTATGTCAAACCTTGTTTCGCCATGCATTTACTCATATTCACTAAATAGGTCATAACCTGTTTTCCTCTGTCCCTTTAAACTGTCCTTTGAGTATCAAATTTTCCTAGCCCTCTTTCCTCGTTATGTACCCTAGAAATTTGGATACTCTTTTATTATTCTAAGTATAATTGTTCTTTTCATTCCATTTTCCTTAAAGCCTCGCCGTAGCTCACATTTACTGTTCATGGTATTCTCAGCATTCACCTGTAGAACCACATTAGTGTTGCCCCTAGTCGCATTTCTATCTGTGAGAAAATTGTCCAGCATTTACTGCCACCGATGTAACATAACAGGTCACTACTCTTCGCTTTGCTTCTAACGGAACTTTCCTGTTTCTTAATACGTTGCTTAACTTTTAGAAGGCATCTTATTATGTCTTCGGATTTCGGTGTCGTCTTTTTTGACCTCTGTTAAAACATTACTAGTTATTTAAATTGTTCTACTTCTTTGATTTGCTATATCCAATTCTTAATTGGGTTGTTACATTTGTTAATAAGCATGCATCCTGTTTTCTTACAATTGATGCATAGTCCTTTCTTCAGGCTTTTCTTTACTAAATGATAAGATTTTCCTTTACTTAATCTGCCTTTATAAAATGATAGCAAACAATGTAAGTATATGCACTATAGACAAATAGATGCACTATGTGCAAATGTATGTACTATATGCAAATATACGCAATATGTTCATTCTATGTAACTATATCCACTGTATACTGCGTATGCACTATATGCAACTATACCAATATATGCATTATATGCGGCAATATGACCTATATGCAACTATATGCACTATATATGGATATATGCATCATATGCAATGACATGCAATATATGCATTATGCAACAAAAAAAAATATATGTATTCTATCTAATTATATGCTCTCTATGTAACTATATGCACTATATGCAATATGTGCATTATTCGTAACAACATGCACTATATGCCACTATAGGCACTATATGCAGTATATGTATTGCATGTACCTATATGCACTAAATGCAGATATATGTACTATATGCATTCTACGAAACGCTATGCAATATATGCAATTATATGCACTATGTGCAATATATGTATTCTATGTAACTATGTACACTATATGCAATATATACATGAATTGCATATAGTGCAACTATATGCAATATATGCATTCTATGAAACACTATGCACCATATGCAATTATATACACTATGTGCAATATATGTATTCTATCTAGCTATATGCAATATATACATATAATGTAACTATATGCAATATCTGCATATATTGCATATAGTTCAAGAATATGCAATATATGCATTCAACGAAACGCTATGCACTATATGCAATTATATGCACTATGTGCAATATATGTATTCTATGTAGCCATATGCACTATATGCAATATACATATATTTATGTATTGCATATAGTGCAGTTATATGCAATATATGCATTCTATGAAATTCTAAGCACTATATTCAGTGATATGTGTTATATGCAAATTAAACAAAGTAACATATTTTTATACAAAGCCAATACTTTAAAACACCAAAACAAAAATGAAATAAAACCTAAATAAATACATTAAGCAAAAAAAAAAAATGAAAAAAAATACACGTAATAAAAATTAACTGCAATTAAAGAGTAAAAAGTTCATTAAGCGCATTCGGATAGACAACTATTTCTACGCCATAGACTCTAGAATAATTTGAAATATATTCCTTACTGCCAACCCAGTAACACCCAGGGTAATGCAATAGACCTTGCTAACTATAATGCACCATTAGGCAGCATATATAAATAGACGAGTCCAAACACAACACACATGGCCTAAGATTATGTTGAAGTCCGAAACAGAATATCACCGCTTGATGTTGGCCTCTGTGTCACACACACACACACACACACACACATATATATATATATATATATATGTGTGTGTGTGTGTGTGTGTGTGTGTGTGTGTGAAATGTGTGTGTATATAAATTTATATATATATATATATGCAATTATTTATATATATTATCTATATATTTGCGCGATACTTCTTGGAAAGAGCTCTGGGAAATATATGTATATATATATATATATATATATATATATATATATATTTAATATTTATATATATTGTCTAATATATATATTTGAAATATATCTTATATATATATATATATATATATATATATATATATATATATATGTGTGTGTGTGTGTGTGTGTATGTGTGGGAAATGTGTGTGCATATAAAAATATATATATACTTTTTTATATATATTTTTACATATTTACGTTACTTCTTGGAAAGAGTTTTGAAACATATATACATATATATATATATATATATATGTGTGTGTGTGTGTGTGTGTGAAAAATGTGTTTATATATATATATATATATATATATATATATACATGCAATAATATTTATATATTATTTATGGTATTTATTGAAACCGCTCAATATCAGTGATAGAGCTAAAATATTTAGTTGGATTGATGTGAGTTTAGACGCTGGGTTTCTTATTTGGGATCGTCAAACTGATTAATTTTAAAATTTTTGTATATATATATATATATATATATATATATATATATATATATATATATATATATGGTTGCGTCTATCTGTGTTTTTATGGTTGTGGCAGGAAAATTTATCGTCGGAACGCCACTCGTACGTACGCAGACATACATACACGCAGACATACATACACATGCGTGTATTTATATCTGCGTATGCACGAGTGGCGTTCCCACTACCATAAAAACACCGATAAAAGCAGCCATATTTAAACCAAAATTTTAAAATTAATCAGTTTTGTCTGACGATTGCAAATAGAGTGAAACCAAGGATAACAAACTCACATCTCTCTCTCTCTCTCTCTCTCTCTCTCTCTCTCTCTCTCTCTCTCTCTCTCTTGTATATATATATATATATATATATATATATAGCGCTGGATGTCAACTGGTCTAGGACAAGGACGACTTTGAATTCAAAAAACCTGCCGAGGGTTTTTTGGGGTGCAAACGAAGTTCACTTAGTCTCTGTATTCGTCGGCCCTTTAAAATGTGTAATTGGTTCTGCACTAAGCCTTCACCCCTATAATCAAATCATACATGCTGGTGTCTTAGGTGTCGGTTCCTTGAAGCTGAGCTGCTTGACCCTCATACGTCGAATAAGACGTTACAGCCCACCATATGCCACATTGCTTGCTGCTACTCTACATTTTAGCTGTGTTATTTTTCGATGAGCACTCTTTTATTACCACCATCACTCAATGGCCGCTTTTTTATATATATATATATATATATATATATATATATATATATATATATATATATATGAAAGAAAATACAGAAAAAAACAAAATTCTGAATATGCATTATTAATGTTAAAAATAAAGTCGACGTCGGACGTTTCGGTCTATTTAAGACCATCTTCATGGACATTTTCATTTAAACATAATTAACATTATAAATAACAATTTAACACAAAAGAAGATGGACATAAGAACAGAACGTCTGATCTGTATAAAATTTCAGTTATCTTTTATCATTGTGTTAAATTGTTATAATAATTATGTTTATTCAGAATTTTGTCGACTTTTTTTCTGTATTTTTCTTTCATACTGTCGGATTTATATCCATATATCCATATATATATATATATATATATATATATATATATATATATATATATATATAGCGAGTTTTCAAATCGTGTAACAGCAAAACTGTCTAATTGTTAGATTAAGCTTTGAACCGTGGTATCTTAGAAATGAATAAACATATCTTACTGGAATTCTTACAGGTTTTATAGCAATTATACTATTGGAGTCTACTTTGGGAATAAGAATGTATGATTACTCTCTAAAAAGTAGAATCGTGATGAAATCAATTATAAACGGAAATGACACGTCCATCATTAATTAATCATAGCTAACGATCGGAATCTCTTGAAGTATTGACATAAAGTTCATATATATATATATATATATATATATATATATATATATATATATATATATATATATATATATATAATTCCAGGATCCAAGATGATCTTCGCCCTCTCTAACCTTCTAACTTTCTGTCCTGGATTAACAAGGTGCCTCACAGATTTCACGTATGATTTCAATTTCATGTTTTTTTTCAACTGAATCTCCCCTACTAAATGCCAAACGTCATATGGATTGAAATGGATTTTTTCTCACTGATATCTTTAGTTCTAAGTTAAAATGATGATCCATCTTCTTGTTTTGACCTACTGATCCAGTTTTTCTTTCTACAGTTCCGACTTTTTAAACTTATTCACCGTTCTCTTGATGTTTCATGATTGAATATGGAAGCCAGAGTATTAATGTTGGTACCATTTCTGGAGGTATGAATGATCTTTTTCTTCTCAGCATTGCTCATTTGGAAAGACACAAAACGATTTTAATCTGCTCTCTTCTTAGTTGAATAACTCAAAGGACTTTTCAGTGATACTTACGTCAGATGGTGAGAAAATGACTTAACGTCTTATCTGAAAACCTGGAGAAAAGAAATTCAGTTTAGTGGATTTTAGATATTAAAAATTTTAGGGCTGGACAATTATACTGTTATATATTTGGACAATTTTGCTGTTTCATACAGTGTTTTGGTTTTTTGCTGTAAAAACCATGCTCTGTTGTAATAAATACATCGAGCTCTCTGTGGATCAGTTTTAATAATTAATATTACTACGATGCACCCGGATTATATGCCAACAGTTCGATTACTTTAATATATATATATATATATATATATATATATATATATATATATGTGAGGAATGTGTGTGTGTGTGTGTGTGTGTGTGTGTGTGTGTGTGTGTGTGTGTGTGTGTGTGTGTGTTAAAATGACTTTTTAGCCATTATCAAGGAGGATTTATTTTTTCCTTTAACTGAATGTATCGATTATTTTACGTACCTATCAGAAAGTTTTTTTTTTTGCAAACGCAGTCAGCATATTGTGCTTTCCAGCTCATAGTTGATGTTTCGTTACTATTAATAATGCTTCGTTATTTTTTATGAATTATATACATACTTATATATATATATATATATATATATATATATATATATATATATAGAGAGAGAGAGAGAGAGAGAGAGTGAAAAGCGATATATATATATATATATATATATATATAGATAGATAGATAGATAGATAGATAGATAGATATGTTGTTTGGTACAGCATTAAAGTGGGTTAGTCGAGAGCTCATGTGCCAGGAAGGATATATATATATATATATATATATATATATATATATATATATATATGTGTGTGTGTGTGTGTGTGTGTGTGTGTGTGTGTGTGTGTGTGAAAATATATAGAAAATAGGAAGGAACTGGTTAGGTAAATAATCCAAAGTCCCTTAGTAATTTAGTTATTATTTATAAAAAAATAGTGCTCGATACAAAGTAGAGCATAAATATAATTATTCATTTAAAAATATGATTCCAAATCGCGATAGATAGATAGATAGATAGATAGATAGATAGATAGATATGTTGTTTGGTACAGTATTAAGTATGTTAGTCAAGAGTCCATGTGCCAGAAATAAATAGTTCGGTTCTTGGAGGCAAGTCACTCCTGGAATTGTTTTCTGATGTAGATTCTGTTAAGGTAAAGCCGGTACAAATTTATATTAAATGTCAATAATCCTAACGCAAATGCCAACAATACTATCTCGTCAAGATCTGTCGCTTTCTCCATATTCCTTTTTTCACTTCAATTTACAGTACTTTTACTCTTCCTCTTTGCTGTGAATTTGGGCGCCATTTGCTTTCTTTCTTTGTTACTTTCACTTTCGCTTTGTATTTCATGTTTTTCTTTGATTCTTCGACATTTTCTTTCGTCTTTTTTCAATTTCATTCTTTCTTTAATTCAACTATTTTATTTTTTATTTGCCTTCTCTTAATTCGTTTTTTTATTTATTTTTGTATATTTACGTATTTTTTAAATTATTTTTCTTCTGTTATTCTTCAAACCCTTTTCTTTTCTTTTTTCCTTTTCTGTTTTCTTTTTCTTCAATTCTCTTCTATTCTTTTAAAATCTTTTTTATCTTTCACCATTTACCTTTTCATTTTCTCTGCTTTTTTCATGATCTTTTTCCTGAACCATTTTCTTACATTCCCTCATCACACTTTTCATTCCTTTTCTCTTTTTGAAATTTTTTTTGACATCTTTATCATAGTTTTAATTTTTTTCTTTCAGTAATTTTCGCTTATTTTTTTCATTTTCGTTTTTTCTTGTTTGTTGCTTCTTCATTAATTTCTTTTTGTTTCTTTGATTCCCTTTTGCCTTTTTGAGTTTCTTTTTTTGACTTTTTCATTTATACTTCTATGCTATTTACTTTTCTTTCTTTCATTCTTTCGTTCTTTCATTCTTTCTTTCTTCTTTCTTTCTTTCTTTCTTCTTTCTTTCTTTCTTTCAAACCTATTGATTTTTTCTACTTTTCTTCTAATCTTTATCACTCTGATGAAACTTTTTCTTTCTTTCTTTCTTTCTTTCTTTCTTTCTTTCTAACCTGTTTCTTTTTCTACTTTTGTTCTATTCTTTTTCTGTCTTTATAACCTTTTTCTTTCTTTCTACATTTTTCTTTCTTTCTAACCTGTTTCTTTTTCTACATTTGTTCTATTCTTTCTGTCATATAAATTTTCTTTCTTTCTTTCTTTCTTTCTTTCTTTCTTTCTAACCTGTTTCTTTTTCTACATTTGTTCTATTCTTTCTGTCATATAAATTTTCTTTCTTTCTTTCTAACCTGTTTCTTTTTCTACTTTTGTTCTATCCTTTCTGTCATATAAATTTTCTTTCTTTCTTTCTTTCTTTCTTTCTTTCGCCTCTTCAATTTCTTTTAATTCCTTTTTCTTTATTTTATTTTTTCTTCGGGGTTTCTTTCATCATCTCTTTGCAATTTCCTTTGAAGTTCAATCCTTCTTATTCTTCCTCTCATTATTCTTAACCAGTTACCTTTTCCTTTTCTTTCTTTCTTTCTTTTTCATTCTTCTTCGTCATTTCATTTTCACTTTCTCTCCGTCCTTCCTTTATTTTTGTCACCCCTTTTTCCCCCGCTCTCTTCTTTCTTCCTTTATTTTCATTCTCTCTTTCTTTTTCACTTTTCCATCTCTCTTTTTTTCCCTATAATTCTTCTTCGCTATTTTCTTTTTCGCTTTTACACCATTATTTTGCCCATAGATAGACTACATCTGCGTCCTGGGTAAGACGATAAACCACATCCGATAGCAAGGCCTCTGATCAGGAGGTTTTGAGGAGCGCTGTTCCCCGGCCTACACTGACCCAGGGTGGTAGCACCAGTCAGGGTCCCAGCTCTGGACAAATAGTTAAGCCACAAACTGGGGTCAAAACACTATGAAAGTATAAAAATAGGTTTTAATACCAGCAATACCTTTTTTTGGAAAAAATTATTACCAGCAATACATTTTGGAAAAAACATACGAGAAATCCACTTTTGAAGAAAAAATATTATTACCAGCAATACATTATTACCAGCGGTATATTTTTGTGAAAGAAAAATATCAGCAATATATTTTTGAACAAAAATATTACCATTAATAAAAATCATGTCGGTATTAAATAACCCATTGAGGTGTTGATATACCGTAAAAGAAATCCAAATCCATTATTTTTCTTCAGTTGATTTTCCTATCTTTTCACTATCTCTAATTGCTCTCTTTATTGCTCTCCCCAATTTTCTTTTACTTATTTCCTTCAGGCTTTTCTTTTATTTAATACTTCTTCCCTTTCTTTTCAATATGTTCCTTCTGTTTTGCTTTTTTTTTCGTTTTCATTTTTTTCTCTTCGATTTTAAATTCATTTTCTTTTTCACGTATTTTTCTATTTGTCTTCTTCATCTTACTTTTTCTTTTGTTTTTGATCATTTTTTTTTCCTTCTTTGAATTTTCTTCGTTCTTTACTGATTTTTTTGCTCTTTCTGAAATTCTTTCCATGATTTTATTCGAGAATTTTATTTTTTCTAATCTTTCTTACAAATTCCTTCATTTCTTTTTTTAGGTTTTCTTTCTACTCCTCTTTTTCTTCTGTTGTCTTTAATTCTTCTTTATGCATTTATATTTTTTCCTTCTACTTTTTTATTTTATTCTTTCACATTTTTTCATTTTCTCTTTTTTATTCTTACTATTTCTTTCTTTATTCTTTTATGTTGATTTGTATTTCCTATTTATTCTCTCATATTTCCATTCGCCATTCTTTTTTTTAAAGAAAAATAAATAACTTTATTCTTTCTTTCTTTTTCACTTTTTTTTCTGTTGGATTTTCTTCTTTTTCTTTCTATGAATTTTCTTTGCTAATTTCTTTCCTAATTTCTCTTTCGTTTCCTCTGCTTAACTTTTGTCATCTTTATTCTTCTTCTTCTTAAAAATCACATTATTATTCGATTTTTTTTCTTTTTGTTTTTTGAATTAATTTCTTTCTTGTCACATTTTTCTCTTTTTTCCCGCTATTTTTTTCTTTCTTCATGTCTGAATTTATTTTTGTTTTGTCATTTTTCTTTTTTTCTCTCTCTTTTTCTTTCTTTCTTTCTTTCTTTTGTGCTTTCGATTTTTTCATTTGTATTTTCTTATAAGATCTTTATTTCTTGTTTGTTTTCATATTCTGTTTAATTTTTTCTTATTTATCACTGCATTTCTTTCTTTCTTTCTTTCTTTCTTTCTTTCTTTCTTTCTTTCTTTCTTTCTTTCTTTGGTGCGTCAATTAATAATTTCTTTTCTTCCTTTTCTGTGTAAATATTTCTTGCTTCTGTTCGATCTTTCTTATCCGAGTTAATTTATAGTTTCTGTTTATATCTATCTATCTGAAACCGTTCATATCCACCTGTTTCAGTCTCAGATTGCAGGTATAGTCGCCCATATCTATCTATCTATCTATCTATCTATCTATCTATCTATCTATCTATCTATCTATCTATCTATCTATCTATCTCAGTCGGTTTCTATCTATCTAGCTCAGTCGGTTTCTATCTATCTATCTATCTATCTATCTATCTATCTCAGTCGGTTTCTATCTATCTATCTATCTATCTCAGTCGGTTTCTATCTATGCATATCTATCTATCTATCTAGCTAGCTCAGTCGGTTTCTATCATCTATCTATCTATCTATCTATCTATCTATCTAGCTCAGTCGGTTTCTATATATCTATCTATCTATCTATCTATCTTATCTATCTATCTATCTATCTAGCTCAGTCGGTTTCTATCTATCTATCTATCTATCTATCTCAGTCGGTTTCTACCTATCTATCTATCTATCTATCTCAGTCGGTTTCTATCTATCTATCTATCTATCTATCTATCTATCTATCTATCTCAGTCGGTTTCTATCTATCTATCTATCTATCTCAGTCGGTTTCTATCTATCTATCTATCTATCTATCTATCTATCTATCTATCTATCTCAGTCGGTTTATATCTATCTATCTATCTATCTATCTATCTATCTATCTATCTATCTATCTATCTATCTATCTATCTTGCTTTCTTTCCCGTGTCAATTTATAGATTCTTTTATTTCTTTTCTGTTATAATCTTTCTTTCTTTCTTTCTTTCTTTCTTTCTTTCTTTCTTTCTTTCTTTCTTTCTTTCTTTCTACTATTTCAATATTTCAACTCTCCCACGCTCCTCTCCCTCTTTTTCTTCCTGCTTCTGCTTTTTCTTCTTCTATCTATCTCATTTCTTCCACTTTACCCAGACTGACCGTCGGGCATAGATACTCGGTGGACTCTAAATACATCGTGACAGAAGTGCGTGTTCTGAAGGCTGACTTTGGCGTAACGAAGCAAACGATTTCAAATCTAACGAACACGGACGCGACAAGATCGAGCAGAGATTCAATCAGTTTGAAGCCATTTCATTAAGACAGCTCCTAAACCCCAACACCTTTCGTTTGTGTTGCAATGTATCACATCTAATTGCCAAATCTATCTTACTGATGTAATCTTTGTTTATCAAAGAGTACGGCATGCGCATGCGTGTGTCGTGTGACGCTAGTTCGCTTGTATTTATGAATGATTTTGGGTTATGGTAAACCTTTTAGTCAATCCTGTAAGGGGTAAATATTTTAGCAAATCCGGTACGGGCAAAACTTTTAGTAAACATTGTAGGCAACCTCGCTCACGGCTGTTGTCAGATCAAAGAATTATATTTAAGTATGCGTGTAACTTTGACTAAATATATTGTGTATGGAAGTGAATTTAAGATACAAACATTCACTTCTGTTATTGAGTTTCAATTCAAGAGTTTGTTTATAATACAGGCAGAGAAATCTTTATCCGAAATTCTAAGGACCGGAAGTCCTACGGTTTTCAGATTTTGGGATACAAGCGATTCAATATGAATATAGCATCTATAAAATAAAGCATCATGGGAATGGGACCCAAGCATAAACACGATATCTTTATAGTGCTATTTACATTGCATAGCACAGATTATATATATATATATTGAACGTAGCTTTATATAAATAACATATACCCTGAGGTAGTTTTATATAAATAATATATACCCTGAAGGTAGCTTTATATAAATAACATATACCCTGAAGGTAGTTTTGTATAAATAATATATACCCTGAAGGTAGTTTTATATAAATAGTATATACCCTGAAGGTAGCTTTATATAAATAATATATACCCTGAAGGTAGCTTCATATAAATAACATATACCCTGAAGGTAGATTTATATAATATACACCCTGAAGGTAGTTTTATATAAATAATATATACCCTGAAGGTAGCTGTATATAAATAATATATACCCTGAAGGTAGCTTTATATAAATAACATATACCCTGAAGGTAGCTTTATATAAATAATATATACACTGAAGGTAGTTTTATATAAATAATATATACCCTGAAGGTAGCTTTATATACATAACATATACCCTGAAGGTAGCTTTAAATAAATAACATATACCCTGAAGGTAGTTCTATATAAACAACGTACAGCCTGAATGTAGTTTAATATAAATAACATATACCCTGAAGTTAGTTTTATATTAATAACATATACTCTGAACATAGATTTATATGAATAATATAGACCCTGAAGGTAGCTTTATATAAATAACATATACCCTGAAGGTAGCTTTATATAAATAACATATACCCTGAAGGTAGTTTTATATAAATAATATATACCCTGAAGGTAGCTTTATATAAATAACATATAACCTGAAGGTAGATTTATATAAATAATATATACACTGAAGGTAGTTTTATATAAATAATATATACCCTGAAGGTTGCTTTATATGAATAATATATATCCTGAAGGTAGTTTTATATAAATAATATATACCCTGAAGGTAGCTTTATATAAATAACATATGCCCTGAAGGTAGCTATATAACATGTAGCTATATAACATATACACTGAAGGTAGTTTTATATAAATAATATATACCCTGAAGGTAGTTTTATATAAATAATATATACCCTGAATGTAGTTTTATATAAATAATATATACCCTGAAAGTAGCTTTATATACATAACATATACCTTGAAGGTAGTTTTATATAAATAATATATACCCTGAAGGTAGCTTTAAATAAATAACATATACCCTGAAGGTAGTTTTATATAAAGAACGTACAGCCTGAATGTAGTTTAATATAAGTAACATATACCCTGAAGTTAGTTTTATATTAATAACATATACTCTGAACATAGATTTATATGAATAATATAGACCCTGAAGGTAGCTTTATATAAATAACATATACCCTGAAGGTAGTCTTATAAAAATAACGTATACTCTGAATGTCGTTTAATATAAATAACATAGAACCTGAGGCTAGATTTATGTTAATAACATATACTCTGAACATAGATTTATATAAACAACATATATCCTGAAGGTAGTTTTATATAAATAACATATACACTGGACGTAGTTTTTTCTTTTATAAATCACACATATCCTGAAGGTAGTTTCATATATAATTTAATACATTTTAAATATACATATAGATACAGATATTGATGCTCGTCATGTAATGTTCACACGGACTTTTAAGAATTGAAATTAAGATTTCAGGTAAAAATAATGTTTTGAACTTTTTGTCCATGTACACTAATATATGACAATTTACATATATATATATATATATATATATATATATATATATATATATATATATATATATATATATGCATGATTATTGACATTTGGAATAATATCTTTACTGAGCACGAAACACCCGGTAAATAATCTATGAATGAAGGTGTTGCTGTGGCGATCTCTAATAAAACTCTGGGACCAACAACAGCTTTACATCATCGAGGTACTTTCTGAAAATTTCCAACACCTGAAAAATCTTCGGATTTTGGAAGTTTTCGGATTTTGAAAGTTTTCGGATTTTGCAATTTCGGATAAAGGATCTACTTACAATCTACTTCCATTATTTACAGTATTCGGACTGTTATACTCATCTTCATTGCCATATTCACAACGTTTCGGCCGTTGTACGCTCCGGTCTTCTTCAGGTGATTGGAATTTCAAACCGTACCCTTTATTTCGTCTACTGGGGTAGGTTATTCTAGTTCCACGTGTCATGCCTCTTCCAGATGTCTCAGTTATTTCCCTTTAACTCAACTCAGAAAAGCTTTTGGACTTTACTGAGACTGGAGAGTGAGAACTGGGCAGTCCTACCTCAAAATGATTAGGAATTTTTTTTTGTATTCAATTAACCCCAGACAAGGAGATACGGCCACTAAGACGCAAGAGGTAACCAAGAGTGAAATAGAATGAGAAAAACTTAGGCGAGCAAAACAAGAACTCGCGAGTGATTTGAACACCTAACCATGGAGGGCTGAGGGTTTGAATGTAAGAGCATTGTCCATCAATTGATCATGCCCCCCCCCACCGAAACTGATATTAAGTTCAAGTCAACCTAGTTGCAGGCAGTATAAATAGGATGGCTCTGTCGGTATTAAAGAAACACAAAATATATATGCTTATGCAAGTGTCTGCAAAAGGGGTCAGCTAACTTTGGAAATGGACAGAATTGGTAACATGTATGGTTTGGTTTATTTTGTTTTTGTTGTAACCAAGGGAAGGTTCCTGAATAGAATAATCAAATGAAGGTTGGTAATGAACGATAATACTTAGGACAAGAACAACACATATAAGATTCGTCAGCGGTGAATAAAGAAGTAATCAATTCTTAGAAGTGAGTCAAGTGAATTCCACAATGAATCTTCAAACGCCGGATATCTATTAACCGCCGCACGTGGTCAGATGTGGCACAAGGCCGAATTTAATGTGGGGCATCCGAGCCCGTAGACTCGGCCAAAAATTCCCCGTAGACTCCGTATAAAACGGGGTCGGGTAGCTGTTTCCCGAGAAGAGCCTCTGCTCTTCAACATAACCTCGTCTGGGGATCATCTCTGCCCGGAGGCAGAGAGTTTGACCAGCACAGCTGGAGACGAATCTCAAACCGCTGACCAACATACAGTATTTACTACTGTATTTATATCAACGAAGACATACCAATTATTGTCCGTATGTATGCTGCAATAGTTTTACGCTGTATCAACCTCAATGGGTTATTTAATGCCGACATGATTTTTAGGATAGGTTCGTGTGAATAGAATGTGTATTCTTGGTAAAAAAATCAGTTTCGAGTTCAGGTTTCATTGACGTATTTTTGTAAAAAGGTTTATTTTCGAGAGTCAAATCTATTGCTGCTAAGTTTTTTCTTCACCGCCTTCTGGGGGATCAGGTTGAGATCATAGACAAAGAACACCATTGGAAAATTTCGTAAACTTAAAAAATCAGCACATATGCTAGGCGGCAAAAATCTCCTGAGCCGCCCAAGCATAGAAATGAATACAGTATGGAAACCAGTAATAAGGAGTGCCAGAGAAAAGGGATACTAACAATGAAAATTGCAATATGAGCTCTGGTAAAAACATGTAATGGTAACAGCAAAAAATTGCAATATGAGCACTTGTACAAATGGTTGCTGAAGACATTAGGTTTATGATACCCAGAAATTCATAAAAAGATGTCCTCAAGGACAATTGGCACACTGGATAAAGGCGTTAATTAGATCCAATGTCAGGACGCAAAAGAGTTAAAAGAGTTCAATACCTGGTTAAGGCACTGGAGAGCTTGGAGAAGGGAATTAACAAGAGATAACTGATAACTGACATCCATTAGATATGGCACGGGGAACTAGTCTACCCCAGTGAGCGAAATAAAGGGTTAAGTTCGACATTCCAATCACCTGAAGAAGGCTGGAGTGTACAATGGTCGAAACGTTGTAATAAATATCGCGTCAAAGATGAGGACAATAGTCCGAATAATGTATTGTAATTTTACTATAAAAATCTATTTTTGTATTTTAATAGTGTCTTAACTCTTGTTTGGTGGTTAACTATTTGCCCAAAGCTTGGACCTTAACAGGTGCTACGACCCTGGGTTAAGGTGGACCTGGGAACAACATCAATTAAGAAGTGCTCCCAGGCTCCTCAAAACCTCCCGATCAGTGGTCTTGCTGCCGGATGTAGTTTATCGTCATAACCAGGACGCGAAACCTGTATGTATAATTAGATTTAAATAATCCAGCCATTTTTGCTGGCTATATTCTAGTAAGGAACTATTTATAAATGGTATTTATCAATCCACCCACGGGGATCGAATGTGGCACAAGGTCTTTTTAATGTGGGTATCTCTGAGCCCGTAGGCCCAGCCAAAAATAAA